TTGGCAAGCATAATTCAATTCACGGCCTATGTACCTAAAATTTATTTTAATATTGTAGCTTCAGGCCAATCTCAGTCTTCAAGGTGGTAAATTTCTAAGGGGTTTTCCAACCAAAATCAAAAATACATATTGAAACACCTACAATTCACTATCTGATGACTTTTATAATTCAAAAAACTCCTTGTTATTTAACTTCCTTGATTTATCCTTCACTTCATTCCTCTTCTGTCCAGATATTTTCTGAACACTTCATGCTCAGGAATTTCACTGTACTTGTAAAATCAAAACTGTCCCAGATAGTATGTCAGAATTAACACAAACCTGGAACCAGGTCTGTCGTCACACTTGTCAACTTCCCTGATACCGGCACACCAAACTCGGTCCATTTTTATTATCACAGAACACTGGGGTCACTCACCACATTTACACACAACCACTCCTGTTTACCCGCAGCTGATAACAAATCTTCACAGATAACAAGACATAACTACACCACACTGTACCAACATTGTCCACCTTACTTTATGTTGACTATAATAAGCAAAACCTTTTTCTTCAAGAGTCACAAAAATACAAGCTTTTACCAAGCGACATCTGAAGTTGATTCACTTTCAAGCGTGATTCACGATTCATCTGCAACCTAATGATTTTATATCAGATGTAGATGATTGGAGCCTGAAAGTCTCATCGGATCAGAAGTGTAATGACATGGAAAATGAATGCATAATGTTGGTTGGAAATCATGCTAAATGATGACAGAGATATAATCATTCTCAAGCTCACAACCTAAACAGAAATGTAAAACTGACAATATATCAAAAGTTCTGGAATAGAGTTCCAGATGATAAATTACTTTGTGGAGATTTGTAACTGTAATAAATTCAACACGTTCCACCCCCACCTAAAAAAAGGAACAAAACCTGAACATCTCACTTAATCTTCCTGACAAGATGAAGGTAACACATGTTTTGATAAATTCCTGATACCTTCTATTTAACAGAGTAAATGATTCATCAGTACAGTGTCATCCTTCAACAGCTGGTAGTAATCAAGCTGTTCAGGAAAATTCCTGTTCTTGCCCACCATCACCACAAATGGACCCCACCCTGATGACTGTTATATTTTGCATCCAAGCATCAAAATACACAAATGCCCAATTCTGCATAAGTCCTACTATTACACATGTCTATTCTACATCTACTACATGGGCCATGGTATATCTTCAGCAATCCTACGACCAACAGCCATCCTTTCACACAAGATTTCCACATATGCAGCATCGATGGCTGGATACCACAGTGGGCCTCTGTGCCACCTACGTATCACACTAAATCAATCACATTCCGCAACAAAACAGCATACACACATCCACCACAGTTAATCTTAGAACACTTCTGACACCATACTAACCTACTTAGAACTTCTTTAGTTTATCATTATGATGCATGGGAGTAGATTTGGTAATGCTGAATGTTAATAGAAGTTCCTTAAACTATACAAATTTCTGCTAAATTAAAAACAATCATCAACTTGTGGGAGGGGGCCTGATTCTCACCGTAAAATCGTGAAGGGTTTAAAATTGAAATTCTAATTTCAGAAGAAGCCACCCAATTAATGGTGCCTCGCACTATTCACGTTCCTTCACTCCCATATGACACAATAAAACATACTTCTATTTAACAAGTGACGACCGACCTTCGTTTGTTGCTGCATCTATCAACCACACATGTACAAAGCCAAATATCAGTACTTAAAATTTTAGTAACAGCGGCGTGCCCAGTCACCCACCTGTTTGGGCGCGCGAGGGGTTTGGTTAATGAACACAGAATACGACTTTGATTTTCCTAAGCCCCTGGCAGGCAGGCATGACCCAGGAATGCATTTCATCGATCCGTCAAGATCCTTTCCAAAGAATTAAATCCAATATATTACTGTCAACAGTCCCTACGGTAAAGTTCTGTAAGTCAGTAAATACATTATAAAAAGAATGCACCTTCCTACCTTAATACAATAAAATGTGGAAATGTATTGAACACCAACTACGTACCACACAAACTCTTACTTTTACCATTTCATTCGAACTACAAAACAAAACTGCTAGACAGCAGCACCGTACGAGTGAAATATATTCACAGAAAGATAGTCCTATTCATCTGAGAACAGAAATGAAACCATTCTCCCAAGTTATAATAAATACAGTATATGAATTGATATGGCACAGTACCTAAAACATGTGAAAAAATATATGGTGTGCACAAAAAATACTATCAAAATTAAATAACGGTTAAGCATAAAATTATGTATATAAATTTTTCACAATTTGTTGTCACAGCTGGTAACTTTTCCAATCATTAACTTTGACTTCGATCTCTCGTTCACAACCACAGACTCCAACCCCTTTATTCGAAAGCAAAAACTTAATGTTCGTAATTCATCTGTGCTTTACTTAATGCTCATGTATGAAAACCGATTGTTTGTCAATAGAGGACAAAGATCTTTGTGCATGGTTTCTATATTATCTCTCGTTAGAAGTGTTGTTAACGCTACTCAGCAAATTTCAAGAAGGAATAAAAGGAACTTGAAGTATAATGATATGTCATGTGAAATTCCCACAAACACGCATATTAAATCCTCACTAAAGTATAATTTGAGGTTTTGGTTGGTAATGTTTATTGTGTGTAGGAGAAACTTGGGTATAATTTGAGGTTATGGTTAATGATGTCTAAAATGAACGACATTCATACTACAGAAGAAAATTCGAGAGCAAATAACGTACAAATGAGCAGCAGGGATAATTCTACAATTGAGAATAATACTTTAACAGTGGCCCAAAAGGCAAGAATTGAAAGAAATAGACAAACTGCATTGCTTTTAAAACAAGCTAGGCTTATACCGCATCCTTATGCTAAAATGTAAGTTTCTTTTATATTATATCTGCCCCTACCATGTAACTAAAATTTGTGGACGTATTCGATTTGTTTGTAATTTTCCTTTTCACAGGCATAGTCCCTTAGCTTCGTGTTCGGGAGGTTCCTGGTTCAAATCATGACTTAGACACAAACTATCCTAATAGGTGTTACATGGCTTACCTTAGTCACTCTAGTAAAATGCTCAGACAGTTTCATAAATTAGACTATGACACTTCCTTTAATATCCTTTCCCAATTCGTCATTCAGCACTATATAGTTTGAGCTACAGACAATCATTAAATAAACCACAAATATTTTCACAATTGAATATTAAAATGTAGTTCTTTGTTCAGTTTCTTCTAATAGTCCTCTACATTTTGAAACTGATGGTAGGTTACATTCATTATGGTACAGAATGTCAAGCTGACCTTTTATGCTTGCACCTTTCAAGAGACAGATGAATCAGTTTAATGAATGAACATCTTGTGTTGCGTTTATTTTCTAGAAATACGGCCGATTCCGTGGAGAAGAGCGTGATTAAGGTCCAGGGTAGTAAGTTCATAGATACTGGTGGTGGATTTTTGCTGGAGGAAATAGTTGGAGAAGACCAAGATGGTGAACCGGTATGAATAAGTTCAGAGTAAGCACTGCTTGAAGGTGCAGTGTATCTTAATTCCAGCTCTCCTTCACACAGTTCACCTCATTTCTAAAAACATGGAGACAGTAATGGTGGTATAACCACTGCATTTGCTAAGGAAATACTACGTAATTCAGGGATCAATAAACATTATCCATTTGTGGGTAAATTAATGGAGATCGGTAGCAGATATAAAAAAAATTATTTTGGAGCCCTGTTGTAATTCCAGAAGAAAGAGTGCTGTGTTCCCATATTGGCAAACAATACAATTTCCCAACCCATAAATGTCACCTTTCAGGCCTTTCCAATATTAAAAAATTGTCCTCATGCCCTTCAAGTGGATCCATTAGGTTCACAACCTTGAGCTGAAAATGGCTGGTTTAACCCCCTCACACTTTTAAACTGTGCCTACAGTAAGTACATGTAGTACTCTGGCTGATTACGCTAAAAATACTAACATCACTTTGCAGATCAAACTCACAGCTGAACCAGCACCCATTATGGAACCTGACCGACCTATCTGCAAGGAGTGCAAGGAAGAGTTTGATGATTCTTACCTCTTCCAGAACTTCGATCATCCAGTGTGTGACAGCTGCAGGTACATGGTCATGCGATTAAAGGGAACTGTCAGTGATCAGGATCATTAAAGTAATACTGGGATACTGGGAGCGACCCGTTCTTCAAGTGCCTGAGCACTGTGGGTCCCAACTATTCATTGGCTTTGATCTATAGACATTCGGTAAGACTTCTTGGACGAGCCTTGTTACTTTCTATTGAATGAATGACTAACCAAATAAAAAAACTGAGTGACTCACTGCTTGGCATAACGGTCAGTAATTATGGAACTGATGAAGATTTTCCAAAATCATAAAAATGAGCAAAACTCATTCTGTCACAGGGACAATGAAGAGCTGCACAGACTCATCACAAAAACAGATGCTAAGAATGTTTACCTGCTGAAAGATTGTGATCTGGAGAAACGAGATCCGCCACTCAAGTTTATCATGAAAAAGAATCCTCACAACATGCGCTGGGGGAACATGAAGCTGTACCTGGAACTGCAGGTTTTGTAGTGTTCCATGTGCATGCACCTTTTTTTTGGGGGGGGGGGATACTTCCAGTTATGGTCTGATTGGCTGTCACTGTGACAGGTGGAACATCGTGCGCTAGAGGTGTGGGGATCAGAAGAAGAGCTGGAGGCAGAACGAGAACGGAGGGAAGAAGAACGGGCAAAATCCAAAGCAAAGAAATATAACAAGCAGCTGAAAGGTATGAAGAGGTGACTGTTGCTTGGGTTTTTCTTCATTCACTGAATTTTCAATCTGTTCACTTCCCTGGTCTACAGAATTGACATTGCCTTATTCATTACCTGTCTTTCAAAATTCTGTGTGCATATCTTGTTTATGTTGTGTTATATGTACATGTGAGCCGGAAGGATTTTATCTTTTCACAGTGGGTTGTACCTCCGTGTAGTCTCGTAGAAGTTTACCAACTTTTCAGAAGTCCTGCCTCCACCACCAGGCTATGAGATGATGGAGGGACCAAAGAACTCTGAAATGTCAATAAACTTCTACCAGACTACACAACGCTACAACTCAGAAGACAGACATCTTCTGTTATTACATTTCTGAAAGAGCAGTTATAGCATGTGGAAGGAAACAAACATACAATAACCAATTTTCAAACCCACATCACTTCTTTTATGTTGACAGCATTACGTATGTCGGTGCGAAGTAGTCTCTACGATCATACCAACAAATCATCACACGAGCACCAGTTCGGACCAGAGTCTTACAATGAAGCGGATGATATGTACACTCACACCTGCACTACTTGCGACTACACAGAGACATTTGAGAAGATGTGAAAAGCTATGACCAGATAAATCCTTTCCTGTGTTTGCATCTTCGTTCTTCAACACTGAAAGAGACTGTAGTTTTTCAGTGAACACCCTTTATCGTCTTGCCTTCCTTTAGTGGAAATTCTTAGAATTATTGTATTTCCTTGACTTTAAGACACTGCTGATTGTGGGGCACATCCTTGATTTAATACCAAGTTTTCAGGAACAAAAATGATATGTCGATTCATGGACGCTATCATACGTAATACACACCCTGATTTAGAAAATTTTAAAATGTGAAAAAGTGCATCTTAAAATCAAGGAAATACAGTAATAAACATACATGTCAAAATTGGATATTTGAGAAATGGTGGCAGAAGATGAAGTCTATGTTTTTCGTACAAAGAACAAGTTTCTGAACCATAACATGGTATTTCCAAGGGATGCCCAAACTGGATGTGACCCAGATTGTCTCATTGAGGAGGGTACATTAAAATTCCTTTACATTTCTCGGTTATTTTCACTTAAGAGAAAGCTTTAACAATCCATTTTATTATATTTTCCTTTATAAACAAGAAATTTTGTACAGAACAGTTCTGGCAGTAGGAAACTCGGGACAGAGAATGATAATCTTGTTCCAAAACTGGCACGGAAGAGTGAGAGGTGGTGGTAGAAGGGCAAAGAATTTTAACTTCGATCATGTGTGTATATATACTAATAATTTAATGAAGATAAATGAACTTCTATATGTTGTAGAATGTCTGTGTTCAATAAAGGTACAGTTATTATCAATTTGTGCACATCACATTTCTCATCCATACATTCATTAAAGCCTCTCCCATTATGTTCACTTAACCACACTCAACAGCATAACATGCATCATGGAGAAGTAACTATTGTGTACCGCACTGGTCGGGGCTTTCAGGACTTGCCCTTACAGGAAGCGAGGCTACCTGCTCCGCAATCTGATGTACCCGTCGATGCCCTGAAAAATATCTCAAGTCAGTAATGACACAAATGCCTGCATGCTGGCCTATATGTATATAGCGCAGAGGTAAACCCTCGTGCCTTCTCAACCACATCCCTGGAAGAAGGTGAGGTGTTCAGTTTCACACTCCAGTCACTTTACTCCTGCAGAAAGAGCTGCTGGGTCATACTGAATATGAGGCTGGGTAGACTATGACCAGCGTGCCAGCAAAGACTGCCTCAGACACACGATCATTTCTAATGACGATCATGGGCCAGGAAGGATGAATAATTGTAGATAATTTCTATTTATAAAATAGTGCGTAAAGATGCAGTTACTATGTGCAAAAAGTGAATTTGTACGGCGGCACAGCAGACACTCTTAACAGGTAACACGATATGGATGAGGTTCTCACCTGTTGTGCTGCAAGTGGCTACGCACTAAATGGCCCGCTGCCAGTGCTGACATTAGCGACAGTTCACCAGCAAGTACAGTTCCGCACACTATGCGGGCCAGCATGTTGGCATTTTCCCCAGGACACACCTTGTTTGCTCCTATAACAAGACACAACTCAGACACCTGTGAAAGCATGTGGTCACCTTACACTCAACTGACAATCTGACTTACTCCACATTGGATCTTCTTCCTTAAGTGGTCAACACTTAATCAACTATCTGAACATACCTCGCACACCAAGCATCTCGAGACATGCTGCTTGTGGTGGTAACACTGTACCTCCACCAACAGTGCCAATCTCTATGGAAGGCATTGTGCAGGACACGTAGAGGTCTTTGCCATCTTCTCCCCACGGCTCCATCAGTGTCATGCAATTACTGCTACCCACGTTCTGAGCTGGGTCCTGTAACATGTATACCAACTTGCTCAACTTAATGCTTCCCACCGAACTGACTTCATTGTGCGGAGTCCTTGTGAAGTAAAGTCACTTGGCTAGTCAATAAATTCCCCAACCTTTCATGGAATCTTTATGTTCACTGTCATTTTCATAAAAACTCACCACTGACCCCTACTCTGATCCAGCCCTATTTGTAATCCATATTAATATTATCTTCCCATCTACATCCAGCCCTTCAGATTTTCTGAATAAATTCTGTACACATTTCTCGTCTCCCATGCATGTTGTATGTCCTACCCATCCTCTCCACCTCATGTTTCTCAACACTGTTTCAATACCAACCCCAAAGTACAGGATCTTCCTGGACCACACAACAGTTCATCTGCTGACAAAGAACCTTCCTATTTCTATAGAGCCTGATGGTCGATCACCCACCACTGGACCTATCCTGAGACCCTTTTTAAATATATTCTCCCACCCACACCTTCATCTCAAAAGGAGTTTCCCACCCTTGAGGACTTCCAAACCAACATTCTGCATATTTCTTTGTTTTCACAAATGTGCTACATGTTTCTTGCATCTCATGCTACATAATTTAATCACTAAGAAGAGAAGAGTACATATTGTGAAGCTCCTTGTGTAATTGTCTCAATTTCTCTTCCTCTCTCTTAGGTCCAAATATTCTGAAGATTGCAATCTTCAGACTCACCATCGTGAAAACCTCAAATCCAAATATTCTCCAGAACACCCTATTGCTATTAGCATCCACATTTTCCCCTACAGTAAGGAACCAAGTTTCACACCCACAGAAAACATGTAAAATTAATTTTATACACACATTCTTCAGTTTTAGGAAGGAGATATTAAGATGGAATGACTGTTGCATGCATTTCCCAGATTTAATTTGGCGACATCTCTGTAACACACTTGCACCCACCTGTCCTGTCGCGATGAAAATGGCTGTGACAACGTTTGCAGCGTGCGCGTTGAAGCCGCCAACACTGCCAGCCACAGCTGAGCCAATAAGATTCTTCGTGATGTTGACATCCACAAGGGCCTGAACATTAGTCTTGAGAATTGAACTCACCACGTCTGCCGGCACAACTGCCTCACACACCACAGATTTGCCTCGCCCCTCAATCCTGCAACAGGACCAACCATTTGTTTCCTAACTATTATTAGGAGGGTGTGCAGTTATAGTACATTTCCATCTTTTTATATCAAAAGAACACACAGTGCTGCAAGCACACGTTATGCGGCATGGACAAAGCGAAGAGACAAGAGGACAGGGAAGAATGGCAAAAGCTTAGCCAGAGGATGATCTACCTGCAACAACGGTACCCACCAGTTGACAGCTGCAGGCTTCTTGTCCGTGCAGAAGTTTCCACTAAGACTCAGGATCTCCATGTCAGAGAACGTCTCTTGCACGAATTCCAACGCCACCTCTGTGCCCTGCAGTTCAACATAACTCCTTTCAGACTGACTTTGCCTGATAGCGAAGTGATGCGTATCTAACGTAACCTCTGAGACTGTTTAGGCTGGCCATAGGCAATTATCTTACCAGCAGGCTTGATGGAACTATTCTGAAATAAATGCAGCCTAAACAGCCTCTAGAGGAAAATTTATGTACTTAAAATTTGTTACTCAGGTACACTGAATTATAATGATAAATACATGTACCAGAGAACCAAACTTGAACTTCAGTCAAAATATTGAATTTTCATTTTGTCAAAAATGCCAACCATGACAGAGTAACCACACACAGTACATAATAATAAAAGTCTTCAGTTGGCCCTGTAATACGTGACAACTAAACATTAATAAACAACATCCAGCTCGGTGCCATGTGACTCACCTTGGACAGCATATTCATTCCCATAGCATCGCCCGTCGTAGCCACAAAGCGAATAAAGAGGTAACGACCAGCAATGCGGATGTGAATCTTGGAGAGACGTGCAAAACGACTAGTGGAGTTAAAACTTTCCTTCATTGCACTAAAGTTCTGGGGTGCCTGCATCCACAGCATGGCCTCACTGCAGCAGAAACAACACTTGGTCTATTTCTAGTATAGGACAATTATTTGTAAACCTACAAATAGCTCTGGCAACCCAAAACTTAGTCCAATCATAAGTCACTTTACCTAGCTCTGCTGATGTTTGGGAAGCGAACAACGGGTCCACGGGTCATGCCATCAGCCACGACGCGGGAGGTCACGCCACAACGCATGAGAGCTCGGCTGCCCCTGTTGGTGCTGGCCACAAGGCAGCCCTCTGTGGTGGCAAGTGGCACGTGCACCAGGCGGCCATCAAGCAGTAAGGGGCCTGCCACCCCAACAGGTACGGGCATGTAGCCGATCACATTCTCACAACAGGCACCCATCACCTGCAAACACCGATTATGCAAGACTCATTTTCTCTTTGATTTAATCTCACAAAAATTGTTATGAAGGTGATACTTTACTAGAAACTGCGCTGCTCAACAGACTATTGCTCTTTTGAAACACTTCACATTTGTTTCCTTTTCTTCCAAGAGGTTTTATCGCCAAAATTCAGAGTGCATTTTACAATTCAAAACCTTCCTACCTCACCTTGGAATAGTCGTAACGCTGATATGGCAGATGGGTCAATGCACCATGTAGGTTGGCAGTTCTGTTCAGGATCTTGCGCCTTATGCACACACCTCTCTCAGGGTCTCCCACCACTTTCTCCAGCTGATGGCTGGGCACATGGCCACAAGCCACGAGAGTCATCACCTCTGAGTCACTCAGAGCACGTGCTCCAGCCTGCAAGAACCGCACGTGAGTGAACAAGTTTTGCACAATGCTCAGGCACCTGGTGACCTCATACCAGTGTGACTGTCTAAAAAATATGTTACTTCTGAGAAACTCAAAATTTATAATTCATAAACTCCTTGACTTTTATATTGTACATAAAGGAAGCCCCAAAAACTGAGGCTGATCAAGAGACGAGCCGCATCTTCACCTCAGACTTGTAGACCTTGAGACACTCGTCCACGCTCCTGTCCTCAGTGGGTGGTGCCCCTTTACTGTCATCCTCTTGCAGTGGCTCAGAGGAGGCAGTCTGGTGGATGGGCTCCTCAGGTTCCTCTGTCTGCACGCTCTTGTGCTCACAGGGCACAGAGACAATGTCCTCTGCTTGTGGGGAGGAGCCACTCACCTCCACCCAACCCTCGACACCCATCAGTCCTGTAAACGGATCAGTGAAGGGGACAATTGGACCTGCGCTCTGCTTCAAACTTTAAAATTCACATTTACCCACCAAGGAACCCACACTTCATATTTCTCCTGTCTATCACCTGAGTGCCTCTAACACTGAAACCCTTACCCAACCAAATTCTCCACTTCTGTTCCTTACACTGTTCTATGATGTAGTTATATTTCTTCCGTAAGACAGTAGTGGAAACATCCCAAAGTCCATGAAATTTCAGGTCCTTACAGTAGTAAGCCGAAGGTGGCCATCTTCTGGAATGTTGTGTGCTGTGCAGTCTGGTAAAAGTTTACCAACATTTCAGAGGTCCTTGCTGCCTCCATGCATCAAGACAATGATGATGAAGGCAGTAAGCACCTCTGAAATATCAGTCAGTTTTTACATGACTACGCAACAACACAGAAGACAGCCATCTTCATACTTACTGCCATGACAACCTGAAATTTCACTGGGTCTACTGAGCATCCATGATCTTATTCGGGTCTTTCAATGCAATTAGGCAAATACACCTGTTACATAATGCGCTGTCTTCACAAAAAATTCCATGCGTGCATCAAACAATGAACAACAATTCAAAAACTCATATAACATCACGGAAGACCGCAGTGGTGATATTCCAGAGAACGTACTTTTGTGAGCACCTGTATACTCGCTTGGTCGACACTTGGTCAGCTCATCCTTCACCTCAAAGAATACAAACTTGACGGCCAGGGCGAGCAGCAAGATCAGGATCACAATGTGATCAGCATTCACAGTGAGCCACCTGTAAGAGGAAGAACGGACGGCAGCCATACTTTCAGCTCTCATTCCTAAAAACTAAACTAATTTTTAACAGACAGTCGCAACCCCAATCAGTCACTAAATTCCAATTACTTCTAGCCTTCATTTATACTACACAATCCTAAATTCTGCAACACACAAACAATAACATTTTTGTGAAATGAAAATTGGCAATTCAAATTATTTGACTTGGCAGAACTGAATATGACCAAGAAATTGTTACACAAGCTGCCATATTAACACTTTGTATCCTATAACCCCACAGCACTTCACATACTAGGAAGAAGGAGACCCACTGTCTTAACACGATAACATTTTCTGTAATTTGTATGAATCTTAAAACAGCATAGACAACTGCATGTTTTATCTATCGACAAACACAAAAAGCACTTACTTCAAAATATATCCCTGAAAGATCATGGTGTCTTCGGTGCCATTCAAACTCCCAGCTGAATTGCCGGTCACCAGGTTCCCCACAGGAAGATCCTCTGCTTCACTAGCGAATGACCAGCGACTACAACAGACAACAGCGCACGTCACGAAGACCCATGTACGCACATCATGAACAATCCCAAGACCCACTGGAGTTACATCACTCTAGCATAATAGACGTCTTTCATCACGTGAAATACAATGGGACAGAAATAGGAATGGGTTAGGGTCAGGCCGCACTGATCCAGAGCTACGAATAGCGCGACAAAAAGTGCTCCGAGGTCACATGGTCTAACTCCAAATTACTTGAGATGTTAGACAAGGTTACACAAAAGAGGGCAAAATAAAGAGAAAGAGATACAGAAACGTAAGTCACAATTTTTTCCAAGTTCTGAAGCTGTTCAGCATCACACAAGAAGATACATGACTGAGAATGATTTGAAAGGTTTGTCGTTATTGTTATTTCACAATGCTGTATCAACTGCACAGGTAATGTAGGGATGTAACAAATGTTCAAAACAGAAATGATTAGTCTGGAAGGAAAGAAATTGTTGTGCAGCCATGAATTCGGACGTGGCTTGGGTAGGCATATATATAGCACGTACAGGATATCCAACTACCTCAGTACCCTGAGGATGAGAATGAAGATGGTTCTCAGGACACTGGTGCTTTCTCCATTCAACCACCTGACATGACTAGTAGCCAGAGAAGAATTAATTATACTTAGCCATGAAAGCTTTAGATCATATATCTATGTAAATTTTACAGTTGATCCCTCAGAAAAAAATCCTGACAGCACCCACGATTTCAAGGTATCATCCCGTCGTACCTGTGAGCATGTACCAGCATCAGTCCAGCTGACATGATGACCTTCACACGCTGCACCACTGGGTTTGGCTTCTGGTCCTCCTCATGCAGCGCACGCATAATAAGGGACTTGTCTTGCCAAGCAGGCTGGCCGCTCTCACCACTCCGCGACAGCTGCATCACAATCAGCCATGCACATTTTCTAGGCATTCATGAAAAAGTCAAACCTCTCACAGCAGAACCCAAAGGTCCAACACCGCTAACATCAAAACCCAAAACTTGGCATGATCTTCAGCCAGTTTTATCTACCTCCAATCCTCATAACCTACTTCCCTCTCAAGATGCCTCTTTCTTAATGTTTTCTCCACAAAATTTCTGTATACATTTCTAAACCTTACCATCTGAGCGTACATTGTCTGACATTATAAGAAGCCACATTTGTGAAACAGGTACAGAAATGCAAGTTCTGAAACCTGCATTACACATATTTGTTATACGGTGTCTGATAAAGTCAGGAGAGT